CAGTTCTTCACCACGAATAATTGGATTTAGCTCTTTCGAACTGACTTTAGGCTGCCAAAGGGAATTCATGAGACGATACATCAATTATAAAGGCGAAAGTGCTGACCTTATCATCCAAGGGATTTTTCGGGGGTGGCTTCTTTCTCAGTTCTGTGCCAATATTTAAAAAGAAGTCGCTTTGGTTCCCTGTGGACCTTTCATTTGTATCAGCATAATCGTTAGGAGCCATCATCCAATCATCTCTCTTCAAAGTGGACTCCGTTATGGTACTAGGAGGTAACGGAGGATCCCCTTGCTTTTCCTGAGCTCGTGAAGTCAGAGACAATGTATCAGCAGTTGGAATATCTGTCGCTATAGGCTTGCAATTTCATTAGATATCTGCACTGATATTCTGTAGCCAGCAACATGAAGATGAAGAGTACCTGTTCACCGTCCATATCAATATTTTTCTCTTCCCACATATCCTCCTCTGCATTGTCGTCCGCAATATGTAACTTTGACCCTTTTTTCTTGTTTCGTTTGCTACCACTGCTGTCTGGAGAGTGTCGACGCCGCTTGTGCTTTCTGTCAGAATCGTCCTTGTCATGATTTCGTTTGTGTTTGGATGTGGATTTCTCTCCGTGTGCCATGTTATGTCAAGAAAGTAGAGGTCAAGGCTTTGAACGTTGAACTTGAAATTACTCGTAACGTCATTGCTAACCCAGTCACATCATGTGACCGCTGGGTATTGTCTGTCACATTCAATTATCCCTTTCTCTAACCAACAACCCTGGAATATTTGTTTCGATATGTCATCACCTGCAACAGACATCGTGATAGCGACTTCTGAATCCAAGAAACCTGAAAACATTTCCAGCATTCCGTGTGCGATGTAAGTTCACTCTTTCAGCTCCCGATAGTTCAGCTACTCATTCGGAGAAATAGCACAGATGTCACCGACAATTTTCGAGATACACTTGTCCTACATGCAATGCTCCGTATTGTTCTTTGACATGCTTCCGTTCACCAGTGCGTCCGAATCTTTTCTGACCTCTGATATTGGAGTTAGAACTGGTCTTTGGTTTGTATAGAATCATGGCGAATGCTCCGAAGCGTTTTATCGTAAAGAGATAAAATCAGATATACACAGTAATCCGTCCAAGACTGCAGAAGAAAGGACGAAAATGATGGATCTTCTAAAGCGGTTTGAAGAGGATGCTTTAGACGAGTCTGAACTTCTAGAGGCAGATGGGGGTGAAGACGAAGTAGATCTTGCAAACAGGCTTCAAAGCCTCGACATGGGTATGCCAACCAAACTTTCTCGAATCAGAGTAATTGACTTCAATGATTTTGCCTACAGAAAAGGCCTCATATGACGAAATATGGTCTGCCCTCACTAGCGAGGAACGAGAACAGTTCATGAAACTCGTTCAGAACCCATCCAGTAATATCACCCAACAACTATTGGCGAGTGAAGAGCTCCAGACACAAATCCTAGAACCTTGGTGGGAACGGCCATCCGACGAATATGAAGACAGTACAAGACATGAGCCAATCCAGGTCTTGGCCTTACCTGTGCAAAAGCAGAAACGGTTCGGCGAAAAGCCAGAAATAATGGAAGTTCCGCAGGAAATGATTGACAACATCACTTCAAGAACAATGAGTCGAGATGAAGCAATACCATTGCTTCTTTACAACATTTGTGCGACATTGTATGTACTTCTCTAAATCGACATTTCGTTTCTCAAATCTGACCAAGTTCATTTAGAATCGTGTATTCGTACATTACTCGCTCTCTATCGACTTCTCCTCTATCATCTCTCAGATCTATCGACCCCGAATACCAAGAAGCCAAGAGATTTGTCTCCCGTCTACTCCCCTTTCTGGTCGAGCGTAGATCAACTTCGGTCTTTCCCAATTTATCCGCCACAATTACAGATCTATGGTCTCGCTTTGATTCAGTATGTTGTCTCGATCTTCATCAAAGGCATATTGCTTACAGTTTTGCTTCTCAAGGAGAAAATCTCTCCAATTTTACTGTCCATTCTCCTCCATGACACGTCGAGGTTGATTCGTCCACTTAGTGTGACCGTATTGCCTGCTCCTTCCACTGAATCATCATCACTCACATCCCACCCGTCGAGTAACACTATCCTCGCCCTTTCCGATCTATCCACACTCTTCCAATCGAATAAATCGACCCACCATATTGCACATAAACTCACATTCTACGCTGCGACAATTCTAAGCACATCGACTATGGTGTTGCGATTGCTGGCAGATGAACTCGAGATGAGGAGCGAGGCAATGAAAAGTGAAGCGTCGGCGGATGATAAAAAGGCATCGGTGAAGCCCATCATCCCGGTAACAAAGCATAAAGTGGTCATTGAGGAGTTGACTTGACCATCCTCTTCAATGTTGCGTTGACTCAATCATTGGAATCCCAAAACACACCCAGGATGTACATCATATCTCTGATACATATTCTATACAGATTTAAATACACCAAAACAGTTAGATAGCAATACAACATTACAGAAACGCGTCCATGATCAGTGCAAAGCTTACTCAAGTTTGGATATCTCCACCTTGATTGATTCTTTTTTAGTGTGACCTCCTGAATACTTCAAACTAGCGAATGTTCCCTTCGTCAAGAACGATGGATTCACAGCGGTGATATCGTCAACACTCTACAATCGGAATGGGAACCAATAGATCAGTGTTGTGGAATCAGCATTGAATTCAATCTGACTGACCTTGACAAAGTACTTCAACCTGCTCGGCGTAACGAGTACATCAGGGCACTCTCCTTTCTCTCCACCGAATTTCAAGAAGTCTGAGTGTGTAACGTCCAGATTTACTTCATGCATGAGATCGTTGGGAACGGGGAATATGGGGTAGAAGCTGTTCAACAGTGAGTGAGTAAACGTAGTGCAGAGATCTGGAAGCATGTCATACCTCCTCTGCTCGACAAGATGTCTACACAGGTTGGCCATCGGATCAGCTTCACTGTTATTGGATGACATCTTCACATCCCCATCTGCACTTGTACTAGTATCCTGTGCACGCTTGACAAATTCTTCTTTCCGAAGATGGAACAAGACATCAACACTTGTAACAGCAAATGACAATCCATTCAATGAAAATTGACATGGATTCGAAAGAAGTCGAATACGCTGATTGATTGTGTCAGTGAAAAGATTGCTTCTCCACATTTTACAACAAGCTTACTGGATCACCACAAGTCTCATATGAGAAGGCACTTTGAGGATATGCCACATGATCACTGAGGATATCTTTCACACTGGGGACGATTAAGACCGTAGCACTCGGCTTCAGGTCTAAGAAATCCTTCAGATTATCCACAAAGGTACTTTTGAAGAGTTCCCAAGGTGTTATATCCATTTCACCTTGTCGGACGAGGGAATGCCCGTGATCAATGAAAGGCCCAATCTGATTCTAGTCAGTGAGAGATAAAGATAAAACAAAATCTGATTCACCAGTAATACAACATCAGGCTGCTCCGATTTCACTTTCGCTAGCATAGCTTGCCATGGCTTATATTGTAGGTCCGCATCTGAAGTGAACGGCCCCGCAGCAACGAACATTGTAAATGCTGATTCATCGCCAGTGGTTGAACTGACTTTGTCGTGATGAAGCGGTGGGATCTGATGACACATTTTCAGTAGGAGAATTCTGTATCGACCGAAAACGCGCATACAGTTAACACTTCGGAGACGGCAAACCATCCACCGCCCCCATTCTTCCCTTTCAGCGCAACAATAGCACCGGGGAAGATTCCAACAGTTGGAGGGCCTCTTCGACATTGGGTAATCTTGAAGTCATGATTAAACTTGACTTGTACCCTCACTCCTGATCCCATAGAGCGAGAGGACTCTAGTGCTATAGATGCTTCATTGATTTTTACTGATCCTGAAGAGGATGAATCCCCGTCAAGGGTAATTCGGCCAACGACCACGACTTCTTCCTATGAAAGGTTTAATACAAAACCTAAAAGGATCGGTGAAAAGAGTACCTCTGTGGCCAAGCCAGGATCACCGAAGTCCATTACTCCGTAATGATCTTTAATGATGTCGGCGATATCCTCAATCTGGTCGTCGAGAACTAGAGGGACGGTGTGAGTAGCGAGTAACGTGTCAAGAAAATGCATGAACATACGTTCACTGCGTTCTGATAGTTTTTCATACATATATCTATCTGGAGTATATATCAATTGAAGGGACTCGTAGGGCGCGTCACATATGCTTACATCCTCGTTCCTTCTGCGAGGACGATTCAGAACCAACCCAAGAAAACTTGAGTTTGGAAGAACCTGGTTGAACGGCCGGGATAACGGTCGTCGATTGATTGGGAGTTTTACTTGGAGTTGCTATTGAGGTATTTGTTGACCTCCGTAGATCCACAAGACTGTTGCGCGTTGGAAGGCCAAAGCGGGCGTTCTTCAGAGATGCTTTCTTGGCAGCTAATGCAGCCTTCTCCAGATCGCGTTGAATATTTTGTCTCAGTGCGGCGACAGACTCCTTAGTAAATATAACTAAGCCCTGTGTGCCGTACTTCATGGCCTCCCATTTGTAAAACAAAGACGAAGCATCGAGATTGTAATTTTGGCAGAGTGTAATGCCTGCATGGACAGTTTGTCAACAATTTCATCAGAGCAACTTCTATGCTCACAGTCATTTACCAGGTCTTCATCGAGACTGTTTCCAAAGTGAGAGAGGAGGTCGCGTCGAAGTGTTTCTTGTTGATTCTCCATCTTCGTGACTGTTGGGAGTAAACCGTAATGCGTGACACTGTATTCGCGCTCGTCACGTTAATCGCGTCCTGTCACATATGTCACATCAATATCAAGTTAGTGTAGATTATTGATAAAATAAGTAGACTGGTCTATTAATTGATGAACATTTTTAAGACTCACTAGACTACTTAGTGGGTGGAGGAAGCCATCAGGTGAATAGAAGATGCCTTGACGAGAGTATAGTCTTTAACTCGTTCATTTCCAAGGCGCTATAGCCAAGTGGTTACGGCGACAGATTAGAATGTGTATCTATCATCTATCTGTTCCTCTTTGAGGGCGCAGGTTCAAATCCTGCTGGCGTCGTGTAATTTTGTGTACTCTTCGCACTATGTTGATTTTTTTCTTAATTTGAAGACCCCGAGGAAAAGATTCTAGGGTTCGTAAATGTGAAGTGGGCGCTTGTCGCTCTTTTGCTGCATAGGATCACGTGACTTGTCAAAAGTGTGCACGTCGTATATTGCATGATCAATATATGGTTTTGCGATTTATACTTTCTTCATATTCATGCGGGGCGGGGGGTAGCACAGATCCTGCCTAAAATTATATTAAGAAATGATTCATTTCATCCACTTGCTTTCTGGAGACATTTGTCACGGTCACTGTGTGACAGAAACACGTCACAGATGCTGACAAAGCAGATATATATCTGAAACTGATCGTGGCTGGACAACATCATTCGAGAATATGTTATTATAACAGCTGAGAACACAAAGCGACATAGAATAAAAGTCTGTATGGTTGCTGAGAATGATAATTATACTCCTACACCAGTTAAAAAGCATCGTATATCGATCCATGATAGCCAATCCTCTGTAATTCGTCAAAAGCTTCCGAAACACGTTCCAACAGGACTGAAAGCCAGACAGAACTGAAAGCACAACGGGCATAATCGTCGTCAAGCTACGGGTATGGTTCATTCAAGATTCCTCCACTTCCTCCTCCTCCTCCTTCTCCTTGTCTGCTTGCTCCTTTGCTTCTCTAGCATCTTCCTCCTGTTGGCCTTTCACCAGCTCCGGTTCGGCCAAAGGACTCTCTTTTATTGGGCTCGAAGAATTAGTGGGTGAGATCGAAAGTGAGTGAGTGACGGGAGGAGAGGTAGCGTGCGGAATACTGAATAACAAGAAGGCTGTTAGATCAGAGCCACCGACCAGCGAACAAACTCACTTCTCCGGGTTTGGGATAGCCGTCCCAACGGTGTTCTGAGGGGCCTTGCCAGCCTTCGACAAAGCATAATCCCCAGAATCAAAATACTTTCGGTCCTGAGATACGTTCAACCGGTCAAGATATGAGGCTTGTGGTTTTGAAAGGGAGACATACCTTCTGCATCTTTGTCAATACATTCTTGTGAGACGGAAGCTTCCCATAGAGACGGAAGAGTTTCTGCTCCTCCTCCGTCAATTTCTGCAATGAAAGAAACAGCTCGATATTAGCACAAGTGTTCACTCTAGAATCAATGATCACTTCGTATCCGAACATGATCAAGAATCAAAGGGAAGAGGTAAAGTGGCCGAATAGTGATACTAACGCTAATGTCAACCTTGTTTCTCTTGGCGGGCAACATTGGTGAGAGATGTAGGGGAAGTCACAAGAGGACAGATGTGAGCACAGGGCTCTGAAATGGTTTGTAAAGTCGAAGTTGTAAAGCAGATCGATGTGGATGGAAGAGCAGGTCAGGATAGTCGTCGTATCAAAGCAGCACCAAGCCTCATTCTAGATGCCCTTAGGCGGAGCGGGTCGGACTTTCAATTTCAATACTGACGTAGTAAATAAAGTGGATTTGTTTTATTAATCGAACAATACAAACTCTTCAGCGTCATCCTCATCTGAATCAACAAAAGAGTCCAACAAATCAAAATGTAGCTGGTCATATGTCGAACAAACATTCTCTTTAACAAAAACTTCTATTGAATGCGCAGGAGTAAGCAAAGGCGAGCTCGGGCTTGATTCTGGTTCCAGCATATCTTCTTCGAATAACAAATCCTCATCTTCTGGATAGGGATAAAGAGGCAACTCATCGTCGATAATGGGTTCAGGATTTTCATCTTCGAAGTTGTCTTCCAGTTCTAGATCTGACCATGTGTCGTCACCTAGATAGCAGTCGAGATCGTCGGAACCGTCTTCAACATCGTTGAACAAAGAAACATGCTCCGAAAACGAAGATAATTGTTCAGAGGAAGCCTCGTCGTCGTCTTGAATCAGATGTTCCTCCGCCCCTTCAGTATTTTGCGCCGACATCTGCGTATGGAATACTGCGTTTGTATCGCTCTCAGATGAAATAAAGGTTAACAGACCTTCAATATGCGAAGCTTGAAATGTGCCCGGAGGATATCCAGCATTGATGAGACCATGGTGTCTTCGTCCGTGCTCTCTTGCGTCGGGAAGGAATCCAAAATATCTTCGAAGCCAACTCCAAATAATTCAGACAGAGCTTCTGAGATCGTAGCTACTTGCTTCCGGCGCCGTTTGCGCAATTTCTAGAAATGTCGATTAGCCGAGAAACAATCCGTCTTAGACATACCTTTATCGCCTTGCGTGACTGTACACAAAAGTCCGAGTGTGGCGAGCGAGAGATCATGTTGAGGATGGCACGAGTAGCAACCCGACATAACGGTGCCTCGCGGTTCAACGTCTGGACATTACAACTAGGTATTAGGCCATTGGCAGCAGCAGTCAAACGTACCTTTGGTAGCGCTCCAAATACAAGGGGGTACCTTCTACACAGACTACAAATAGAGGTAAGACGATGAATTGATAGCGAGCATACCTTAGTAGACTGTCCATGAACTTCTCTAACGCAGGATCTAACACAGTCTGAAGTGGTAGGTATGCTTCTCCGGTGAAGGGATCGGACTCGGTCATTATGGCTAGAAATCAGTCTTAGAAAAGAATGAAACAGATGACAAAATGAAAGCTTACAAGGATTGTTGACAGACTTGATAACAAAAGACAGGTGGATTGAGACCAGCTTCAGAGGCGGAACAAGAGGTTTGAACTCGAGACAATGCAGGGTCGATACAGTAACTGTAGAATCTCAGCTAACCGATACAACATTGCTAACGTCAAATACCGACAATTGACGAGCGTGTCATCCTCGATAAACACCTCTGATATATGCAGGATGCCCAGGTGGTTGGAGTACTGCGGCAGTCCATTGGAATATACAGGAGGTTTTTCTGCTTTCCCACTCACTGAACGAAGAGCACCTAGAAATATTGTTGCCAATGCAGATTCCTTCATGACATTGCTGGAGACCATGGCACCGTTGTACTGTCCCGAAAAGCGAAAGATTATGTCCGCAAATTGGATAATTTGAATAATGGATGGTATTTGAGTCTTGATTTTGACAACTTTGTCCGACGGAGAGCCGTAGAGGAGACAATGCTGAGCCTTGAGCACCAGATTATAAATTTCATTTTGAGCTTTGTACGATGAGAGAGACAGCAAAGAAGGCATGATTGGAGGAAGAGGTCGTTGGCAAGGTCATCATGGGTGCATACAATGAGATATACCTTATAAACTCATATTTATCTGATAAGCGCAGTTATAGAAATAAATAAATAAATGATGATAGAGATCGCTTGGATCACTGCCTCTCGTTCTAGCACTGATTAGTTCAAACGCACCGGGTACCACCGCCAGTCCACCTCTCTTCATCGTCTGCTTCTCGACGACCACAACGACAAATCCGCAGTGCCTGCGGTGTATCACCAAACAGAAGGGCCATGGTATGTTCTATTTTATTCCCAACACATCGTCTTCCCACTCAAGCGGCTTTGTAGGCGCATGAGCTCGATCAGAAGATACAAGATGTCTATAAACGCATACAGACAGAGCGGAAGGTGCTTGAGGCATCTCAGCTCCTACGACAAGCTACCACCAATCCAGACGTCTTGAGGAGAAACGATGCCGCCATTCGAGAAGCAGAACGATCCCTCTCCTATTTCGAGGATACCCTTCGCGAGCTTCAATCTCGTAAGATGATGATGTCCCAACGCGATGATCATGCAAGATCAGGTAGCGTAGGATCCTCTCAGGTATGTCCAATGTCCACATTGTCCTATTCAACCGCAGAACGATGATAACGATCCATTCACATTTATTTTCGAAGTCGGGTGGCTATCCAGGTTCTCCCCCAGGTGCTTTCAGAGCCATCTCCCCTGAAGTTAATACCGCGGGGGGTGCTCGACCTAATCAAGGTTTCCAAAAGAAAACATATTCCAACTTCGACCTCATCAAGGCGGACACTCCCCATACCACCGCCAAGATATCGAAGATGTTACATCAGCTCGATTTCAAGCTACGAGTTGAAGAACAATACAAGAAGGGTATAGATAAGATGGCCAAGCTATATAAAGACGAGGGTGATAAGAAGTCCAGAGCTGACGCCGAAAGTAAGAAAGTAGAAAGTGAGAGGAAAATTCAGCTTTTACAGACCGCCCTCAAGAGGTACAAAACTCTTCACATTCTTGACGATGAGGATGACGACGACACAGGTAAATTCTTGTCGAAGATACATCAATAATCTCATTCCTAATATCTCTCTATCTCAGAAGGACCAGGTCCCGCAGGTCCCGGAGTAGCTGGCGAACGAAAAGACAACATTCGGGGCAAACCCCTCTCTGGAAAACTACAGATTACTTTGAAAGGTGCCCGCGAACTGGATCATGCACCCATTGTTTCTACAGGTCGATCTCGTAGCGCCAAAGCCATTGAAACCTATGTCTCATTCAAAGTTGAGGGCACCCATCGTGCTCGGTCACATCCATCTCGGACTGACAGGTGGATGGAAGACTTTGAGATACCAGTGGACAAGGCGAACGAAGTCGAGGTTACCGTGTTTGACAAGCAAGTTGGTGATGTTCATCCATCACCGATTGGAATGTTATGGATCAAGATCAGCGATTTAGTGGAAGCACAGAGACGACAGAAAGTGATGAATGAGACTGGGCAGGGAGGCTGGGTGACTGCCAACGCTATGAATGGAGATAACCCGGCTTCGATGGGAGGCATGTCAAGTCAAATGGGGGGTTCAAACGACATGAATTCTCCCATTGGTCTTGGTGACAATGGACTTCCGCCTCAACCTAGCTATGGCTCCACCGCGAATGAAGGAATTGATGCATGGTTTGCACTGGAACCTGCTGGTGCTATTTCATTGCACTTGAACTTCAGTAAGCATTTCATAAGATGTGTTTTGATGTAACCTAAATTCGGATTATAGTCAAGGAGAATGTTCGGAAACGACCCCTCGACACTCCTGGAGGTTTGGGTCGTCAAGGCGCTGTTAGGAAACGAAAGGATGA